TATTTTAAAAATAATTAAAATATTAATAAGTAATACCTGTCTCTTATACACATCTAGATGTGTATAAGAGACAGGCTTTATATAGTTACTGTGTCTTGAGTGAGTTAGCCAGTCGATCCTTAGCTTCATATTTGCGACAAAATTTATTTCTTAGAAAAGAATGATCGAATACTGCCAGCGATAGAGGTTCTTTTATCCTTTTTATCCACAGCCTTCAGTAATACAATAATACAAAAATATATCAAAGATAAACATTTAAAATAATTACAAATCATGACATATTATGGATGGGTTGGGAACTGACAAGCAACAGGCAATAAGCGGCAGTGGCGTAACAATGGGGTCGGCTGGCCCTGGTGTTTTCTGAGACTGGAGCCCTTTTAATGGTGGTGCCAGCGGAGGGGGATCCCGTTCGACAGGCCTGTACCCCCTCGAACCTGACGCCTTGACGATGTCGTTGGATCAAAATTTAAAAAAATATTATTTGCCTATTTAAATTAACATTATTTTAATTGCCAATCCCTAATGTTGTGGTTTAAAAGCACAATTTGGATCATACTAAGCTCTACAAACCCTCCAGTGAACCCTACCAGCCATTTTTTTTAAATGTGGGACCTGGATATAATATATGTCCCACAGTCACCCCTACAAAACCCTATCGCGGGCTGCCACACTAAAACGCATAGTTATTACGCCACTAATGAGGCGAGTGGATATCCCCTTTCCTGCAACTAGTTGTGATGAGAAAAATGGTGGACAAAAGTTGGGGGAGAGTGTATTCAACTCTACCGCCAGATAAAATTTGGTATGAAAGCTTTTATTACTAAGAAATATTTTACAAATGATAAAAATGAATAAGTAGGAATCTCACCTCTTTTTCTCTCTTTACTGCTACAGATGGTGGTGCCTGAAATGCATTAAAAAAAAAAACATTGTTGAATGCAATACCATCAGCACAAATGAAAAATTTAACTACCAAATTGCTTGAAGCAATCTTTTTACATGTCTCCTTCCTGGATTTGTAGAGGCAATGCAGACTGGAGCGATTAGCCTCTTTCCTCCATCTGGTTATATGATGAAATTTGGTTGTTTTCTTTACATTTTTGTACAAAAAAATTTACAAATTAGCAGAGAAAACTCACATTTTTACTTGGTGCTACAGATGATGGTTCCTGAAAGTGTTAAAATACAATGAACACAAATGAATGATTAACTACAAGGAACATTTTAATAAAAAAATTAACTATCTGATTGCTAGCAATGAACTCCAGCCCTTGTCGAATTAACTCTCTTTATCTTTATCATAATTTTGGGTAGTAAACATTATCCTTCAATGCCTGGAATGTAAACATCCTTAGGTAATGCATCTTATCATTGGTTATACGATGCTATTTGTAGGATCAATATAGATGCTCCTACTCTACCTTTAACAAAGACAATTTTCAATTGAAGCTGCGCTCAGTTTTGTTACTACACTATCTGTCCAAATTTAGATAATAAACTTCAATATTAACATTTGATATTTAAATTACTTCTTGTATATAATTAGGCTTTAAATTTAAAATTTGAATGGAACAATCTTCTTATACATTTTGCATAGACCATTAAATTGGCTGGTAATAAATCTACAAATTTAAGCACTGCAAACTGTCAATAAATCAGCAAAAACCCTGTTTGAGTCAATCTGTTTATCATTGGAAATTAACATATGTCAATTTAAATGAGTACTCAATATTTAATTGTATTTTTGAGATTTTTCCCATATTTAATGGCAGATTGTACATTTCCAAGTTATACTGTTTGTGCTAATAAACCTGAACAATAACATTGACATATTTTAATTGTTTAATATATTATTTTTCAATTGAAATTTAGCAATTAAAAATATATCTGATTGGTACGTCGAGTCTGGAAGAGTTCCCAAATGTGTCCACGACACATACGCAATGTAATAATTGCAGAAAAAACCTTGTAGTGAGCTTGTAGTGGTTTTAAGGAATACTAGACTTAACACCCAGAATTTTGAGGATTCAAAGGGCCACTAAGTGTAATTATCAATTGATTCATCACTATTTGAAGATTAACTGCAATTTCATTGTAGAATATATATAGAGTACCATAAATGATTCTTTTAATAACAAAAATAACAATAAAATTATATGAATAACATTAATAAGAATCATAGAAATCATAATAAACAAATTAATTATATACAAAAAAAATGTAAAAAGTAAGATTAATAATAATTGAATAGTTTCATCTGGCTTTCAATCTTTGTATCGATATGTCTAAAATATTGTTAAATGAATAAACCAAGACAAAAGCTTGAGTAAGCCAACATCAACATATTGGTTTATTTAACAACATTTTAGACAAGGTTAAAAACCATGACAATCACATATTCCATAATATTAACAATATTATATTTTTAAAATAATTAAAATAGTAATAAGTAATACTAAAAAATGTCTACCAGTGTCCTCGCATTGAGTTCACAATTACTTAAAGATTGATATTATAAATCATAAGATCAAAATAGCAACAAAAACATACAAGACATTACAAACCGATAAAAGCACAAACACTGAGCAAGATAAAGTGCATTGCAAGTGAAAGAATGCCATTGCAATCATGTGCTATGTTGTGCAACAATAATGTGGACTCCATTCATACTACTAAAATGTAAACATCCTGAAAGCACAAACACTGAGCAAGATAACGTGCATTGCCAAGTGAAAGAATTCCATTGCAATCATGTGATATGTTGTGCAACAATGATTTCGACGCAATTTATACTCTTAATCCTATAATTGGCTGTGCTTGTGTTGTCATTTATATCTGGAAGTGCCAGTTAATTGTTATAATTCCATTGCAATCATGTAATATGTTGAGCAACAATTATGTGGATGCCATTCATACTCTTAATCCTATGATTTGCTGTGCTTGTGTTGTCATTTATATCTGGATGTGCCAGTTAACTGTTATGATTACTAAAAATTCAGAAAAATTAACTTAAATGTAAAGACAATTATGAATTCTAATATATGCATGCAGATTTTAAAAAAATAGAAAATAGAATTATTTTGTAATTTTCTAGTAGGGTGCAAAATATATAAACTTTACCCTAGTGGAATGTACAATTTTTGCAAAGGAAAACAACTCCACTCCTTAGGACACCTAATTAAGAGTACATTTACATGCCTGCATTATCACCTTTGCTAAATGAATACTAACCTCATAAAAATATGGATGGTAAAAATGAAAAGAAGTTAGTAGCAGAATAGAAAGCAAGCGTACCTGATCCCCAATAAGACTAACGTAGGACGCTCGACTTACAGCATTTTCCCTAGATTCTTCCGTCCTCGGCTTGGACGTTAGACGGTTCTGTGTTCTTCTCATCCCACTTGATTCAACACCGCTGACCTTGGATGGGGATAGGTAACCATCTTGGGATGATTGGCTTTCCTTTAATTCAGTCGGAGGGAATGGTTAAAATAAGGACAGGAGTTTTTTTCATAATCATAAAATAAAAATGTAGAATTTAAGACTTAGTAGGGATTCAGGAAATAAGATCCCCTCTTTCATTACAACAGACTGAATTACAGTTACGTTAACTTACTGGGTCAAAATCCTGGGTAGTTCACTTGCATACCAACCAAACAGGGGGGGAATGCAGCAGCAACTTCAAGACATGAGACACTTGCGCTATCTATTTTACTGAAAATTCTTATGGACTTGAACTACCATTTACCAAAATCGCACTGTGCTCTAAAAGACAACAGAAAAAAGGCCACTAAATAGTGCCAAAAAGGGCGCAATATTTACTGGCTCCCGATGGCAAAAAGTGTTCTGTACGGTCGCAATCTCATGGCTGTACCAAAGGTAGGCTTAGCACTCAGTCTAGCTTGAAATTCCTGCTAACATCATGCGGAAAATCGTGGCACTTTGACACAGGATAGGCCAGGGACTACCAATTTCACCCTGGTTATTTCCCACACTAGTGCTACAAAGTCCTCGCAAGTATACCCCATAAATGCTGCAATTCTCCCCATATTTCCCACACTTGTTCTACAAGTCCTCAAAAATATACCCTGTAAATGCGGCACCTCCCCATATAGAAATATTTAAGAGTAAGCCCCCGGGATCAATATGTTTATGTTTTCTCTTTTAAATACTGGGTCTAACTTCAAAGTTTTTCATATAGTGAAAAGCAGGAAAATTATTTGGATTGCATTTATTAGGTGAGAACATCAAGGATAACTAACAAAAGGCCAAAGACAATATAGGGTCCTGTGGATTCGATCGAATATATTTTCCCGAAGATTCGGTAGTAGATCTGACCATTTTAGGCATACACTTTCAGATCCTACTGTATTAACAGGTATTTTTATAACTAGGTGTAATTTTACAGTTAAATCTTTGAATTATCAATTTCAATTACATCGCTATAGTTCTCAAAATATGTTGATAGTGTATTTTATTTTTAAGTAATCTTTTCAACTACCAAGATTATAATATGCAAAAAACTTCTAAATCAATATATCCAATATATTGTATTTGTTCTTTGTTTTTCAATATGGATTTTAAAAAATAAAAGATGATGATGATGATGATTTCCAGTGGGTCCTCCTGGTGGTGATGGGATAGTACACTGAGAGACAATCCCCTATTTTCCCAAGAGTATACTGCTTTCTTTAACATTGGTCAGGTTGCACACAGGACCAATGGTTTAAAGCACCTCTTCCCAAAGATGGCATGCTATTTTAAAAAATTGTTCAGCCTTCCAGCTAAAACACAAGAACAGTGGATAGAATTGTACCAGGCGCCAAGAGATCTCCATGGTTTAACGCACACACAGTGGCTACCGTCAGTTTAGCCAACTCAGCTAAGCTGCTCTCTACTTTTGCCACCCAAGTGTAACTACAATTTAAAGAGTTTGGGCTTCTGATTAAAAGGTCAAGGGTTATAATCTGTGCTTGATCCATTTTTGTGTCCTTCACATTGTCTATTTCAACCGATTAGTAGCAGATACATTATGGAATCAGTGGCGTAACGCCTATGCGCTCTCATGCGGCAGTCCACAGGGCCCACGAATTCTAGGGGCCCCAAAGGGGCCTACCCATCATAGGTTCCTCGATCTAGTACTTTGACCAAAAAGGACTTTGTTGATAAATAACACCATAATGTGTCTCTGAAATCGACTGTAGGGCATATATCATATTATAATGATTAAAGATAGGGGACCCTCTCGGTCCAGGGACCCCACCAAATTTGTCAAAAAAAAAAAAAAAAAAAAAAAA